AAGTTTCGATTGAGATGTGGGAATAGCTTTTTTCTATGTGTGAAAACGCTGTGTTAAAATATGTTCTTGTCTTAATGCTATGAAACTTTGTTGCTAGATGTTGATTCTATGATTTAGTGAGTCTATGATTTAGTTTATGTTTTGTTGACGCTGTAATATATTTCTACTGTTAACAAACTCACACCCTAACAATAAAACATATGTTTCCCTTAGTTCGTGATTGTCAAGGGTTTAACGTCCTCAATGTGTGCTGTGTATGCGTGGGTGTGTGTACCGGAGACAGAGTCGATGTCTCCAACACACACACACACACACACACACACACACACACACACATAGGCACGCATCCCTGCAGGTGTGGCATCGGGAAAAGAATGCACCTGATGTTACCAAATGCATTTATTGTACATGTAGGAGGCGATTAATGTGGGAACCCCTGCAGAATTGGGGATTTGCTTTGGTGTCCTATATTTGGGGACACAAGAGCGACCAAAATAGATCTGCTTCACCTATTGCAATATTTTGGATCACTATCTTTATTTCTACTTCTAATTACCTTCTACTTCCTAACGCCTTGCTTTGCAACACCTCACTTTTGGCTGGAATGTTGGTGAGGAAGGCAATTGGTTCTATCCCCAGGTTGGTACATACCAAAGACCTTAAAATGGTAGTTGTTATTCCCTGCTGAACCTTCAGCATTGAGAGGAATGGCAACAACTCCTTCACCTGTTGTCAGTAAAATGTGACCGGCCGGAATGCTGAGCGGGGTGCCTTCGGCATGGTATTTCATTTAGATAGTACTATAAAGTCGGCATCAGATCCGCACAAGGAGGCAAGCACGCCAACATACCATGTCTCCCGCATACACACACGCAGGCACGCATATAATACTCACATGGAAGCAAGTTCTTAAATGACCTTCGCTTTTAACAGGCTTGTGAAAAAAAAAAAAAAAAAAAAAAAAACATAACCAAACCAGAGTGGATGTATTTGCCTCCTAGTGATAGCGCAATACTGATGCCGCCTGTATAGGGCTAACTAACTGAAATACAATACAAGAGAAAACGTAAAGATCCCAAAATGTTACAATAAGGGCAGCAGATCAGTTTTGGTTTCTTTAATTACACTTCTAAGATAAAGTCACGGAGAAAGCCCCCGATTACGCAGGAGAGCCAAAATAAGTCGCCTTTTACTACATAACGGATACAGCTGGACTATTCTTTCATTGAACCTGCAGGTTTTCTTATAGATCAGCTGTCTTTGGGTGCATCAGTACATTTGTGCTACATTTGTAAGTATATGCGATGATAAGTATAACAAATAATAATCAAAGAACACCAGTCAATAATGGTTCGGCGCAATATACATACAAAATCGTACACAAACAGACAATTAATTTTGTCCTTTGTTTCTTTGAAATCCTGCTCAGTGAAAATGTCCTTCAGTGCGTTGGTTTATAGGAATGCTTCGATGCGGAAATTTGGAGGAAAAATTACCTATTTCCTTAGTGTTCTTGAAATGTCATCGTTTCTGAACACAAATGTGCAGTGTTCTACTAAAAACACTGTTTATCGTGAAAGACATCTAAAAATGATTTTATTTGTTCGAATGTTCGTCTTGACATTCAGGGATATAAAATTGAGATTGTTGATTTGGAGTTAATTAGTCCTCGCAACTGATAAGATCATACTAAGACGGGTATACATGGACACACCGCCAAAAGAAATGTTTGAAAGTGTAGCGCTGAAACAAATTCATATAAAGCGTCTCTTACTATAAAATGCAGAGGAAAGCAACCAGGATTATAAGTTTTACCTTACCTCTATCCTAACAATATGACAAATGTATGTTCTCTACCGAAATTTAGTATAATATAATTATTTGCGATTATAAATCAGACCACAATGACCTGTTGTATTGACCTATATTATTTTGATTACAGGCGAGACTTTTCATCACCAACGAATCTTTAAAGGACGAAACAGCTGTTAGTGGTGCATTTTTGGCATTCTGAATTAAATACCCGCTTTTAAAGTCGCAATACAATGTTTTTGTCTTTATCTTATAATCACTGGCAATTTTAAGGTAGACGAAGTCAAATTAAAAAAGGCATTCATAATTTCTTATTAAGAGATTTCGTCTTGTGTTCAGTGTCAAAATGTAACCAAAACATTCAGTTTGATTAGAAACACTACGTTCAAATTAATTAGTTACAAGTGAAACAGGTGCGATGATAGCCAAACTGTTGGGCGATGCGGAGGTAAGGGTAAAGACACAATTACCTTTTTGGTTTGGATCCTAAATGTGCATGTTTAAAAAAACTTTTTCTTGCATAGACAATAAGTGTTTATTTTTATATTTGGTGTATAGTTATGGCTTTTAGAGATATTGGCTTGGCCATACTTTTCTATTTCATATTTCACTGTCATTTCAATGTCATTTTCGCCGTTACTGGTGTTACCGTTGTCACCTAGCACATCTGTAAATTCAAAATATCGTTTATTATTTTGAAGAAATGTGATAAATTAAATGCGTCGTATTAAGCGTTGCTTAATCATGATTGCGGATAACATCAAATCCAAGGAGGTACAAAAAATAACTTGCTATGCCTGAAGAAGCAACAGAATAGTGTGCACCTTAAAATACCGCAATGGCCCGGTATGACTGACGGCGACGGGGACAATCTTAGAACTAGGAATGAGGGAAACAATGGATCAGGGGGCCGCGGTGCCCAAATGGATGAGGTGTCTGATCTTCTGTGATCACTAGCCCTCCACCATGGGGTCGCGGCCTACGTGTGACGGTCGTGAGGAACTGGCCGCTGGTCGTTGGTTTTTCTCCACCACCTTAACCGGAAACGTCCTTAAATGATCATAATGCTAATATGATGTAAAAGACTAACAAACCAAACTAGCCGAAATAAAAGGTCGGTTTTGAGATAAGGAGTGTATTGATGGAGATAGGATGTGCATTGATAACGGTCAGTCCCGTGATGATATAGAATGTTCACTGCTTACCGGACAGTTGAAAAGAGTCCTCCTTGATAAGCACTTAGCCCGCTATGTTCTGAGATAGGAACTGCATGGATTACTGTTCAAATTGATATCTTCTTTTTTGACTTTTCAAACTATTCGGTTTAGCACTTTATTTCACTGATTTACCAAAAAGGATGGTGGTGAAAATATCCACTTTAGTCTGACTTTAACCTATATTCGTGTATAACTCGATAATGGTATTACTTATCCTAAATAACAAGCGCGCCAATTGTTCTTCTTTCCTCCGAATTATTTGTGATTAGCACTTTCCCAATGCACATCAACTAACATAAATCCATTATTGAAGAGGGTATACATAGGATTATTTTCTAACACTTGACTCGCCAAAACAGGCACTTCCTACTCGGACAAGACGCGGAACAACAAGTTTCTATCTACAAGTGTAAATTGAATAGTCAACTTAAAACATCTTAGCAAATTAAAACCATATTTCAAAATATTTTACAATGCTTTCCGTAAACGTTAAGACTAGTACAGGAATTACGGATTCCGTTTAAATCCGATTGTCAAACGCCGATATATCGGGGAAGTATGCAAACTTTTAATAACCCGGCTACAACAAAGTTAACAACATGATATTTCTGATTTTCAATTTTATTTCGCAAGAAACTGATCCTCAGGGTCCCTGAAACAATATCGATCGTTTTTATTGTTGAACGACTTTTCTTGAAAAGGGATATGTTTATACAGCATGTTCATTTGTTCTTTTCTTAAGTTCAGTGTACACTAGAACGCGGGTTTGCGCTGTATAATGCTAATAAAACAGTGTGGGCCATTCCCAACGGTGTGTAATTGGCAAACACCCAAGCCGTCATTTGTTGTTATCGATCAAGAATTTGAAAGAAAGACCAAAGAAAGTCTTGATAAGGTAATCTTGATTTGAGCAATGAATACCAGTGTATGTGGAAACCTGAACTTAATTATATACATCGCCTTAGGTGACACTTGCACGTAATTTTAGCGGTGACAGACGCTATACTATTGGTCCCTGTTGTAAAAGTAACTGTTTGCTGGCAAACATTGCAACATATCGCCACAAATGCAAGCACATGCACATTTTATAGGCACGTCCTTGAATGGTGTTATGTGATAAAAGGACGCTAAACCAAGTTAATCGAACAATCATATGACCTTAAGGATTTGCATTGCAAATCCAACCCATCAAAACATTTGAATATAAAGACAAACACGTGTATGTGTAATGCAATGACAGTTGCAAACGCAAATTAAACAAAAACAAAAATCAATTAAATAAAATATGGTTGCCTCTTTGAACCAGATACTGACGTCAGGCTCTAAGCATCGACGTCAAAACATAAGCTGCGATTTAACGTTTTACATTGCATCAAATTAGTATTTGACAGTTTACAATATTTATACAACAAACATCTGTAAAAAAAAGCATCTAACCATCACGTGAAAAAATTCACGCATGCTTCAACTTACAATTAAAACAAGCATTGGTCTAACAAAACATGTGTACGACAAACAAAACTGTACAACATCTGACATATGTACACGAACAAATATGTGTACAGAGATAAATAATTGTGCTCCAAAAAGCATATGTATACCAACAAAAATGTGTACAACGACAATCATCTGTTCACCAACAAATATCTGTAAAACGATAAACATCTATACACGATTAAACACCTGTACACCAACAAACATCTGTACAACATGAGACACCTGTACAACAACAAACATATGTACACCATTAAACACCTGTACACCAACAAACATATGTACAACATTAAACACCTGTACACTAACAAACATATGTACAACATTAAACACCTGTACACCAACAAACATATATACAACATTAAACACAGGTACACCAACAAACATATGTACAACATTGAACACCTGTACACCAACAAACATATGTACAACATTGAAAACCTCTGCAACATTAAACACAGGTACACCAACAAACATATGAACAACATTGAGAACCTCTGCAACATTAAACACCTGTACACCAACAAACATATATACAACATCAAACACATGTACACCATTAAACGCTTGTTCACCAACAAACATATGTACAACATTGAGAACCTCTACAACATTAAACACCTGTACACCAACAAACATATGAACAACATTGAGAACCTCTACAGCATTAAACACAGGTACACCAACAAACATATATACAACATCAAACACCTGTACACCAATAAACACCTGTACACCAACAAACATCTGTACAACATTGAGAACCTCTACAACATTAAACGCCTGTACACCAACAAACATATGTACAACATTGAACACCTGTACACCAACAAACATATATACAACATCAAACACCTGTACACCAATAAACACCTGTACACCAACAAACATCTGTACAACATGAGACACCTGTACAACAACAAACATATGTACACCATTAAACACCTGTATACCAACAAATATATGTACAACATTGAGCACCTCTACAACATTAAACACAGGTACACCAACAAATATATGTACAACATAGAGAACCTCTACAACATTAAACGCCTGTACACCAACAAATATATGAACAACATTGAGAACCTCTACAGCATTAAACACAGGCACACCAACAAACATATATACAACATCAGACACATGTACACCATTAAACGCTTGTCCACCAACAAACATATGTACAACATTGAACACCTGAACACCAACAAATATATGTACAACATAGAGAACCTCTACAACATTAAACGCCTGTACACCAACAAATATATGAACAACATTGAGAACCTCTGCAACATTAAACACCTGTACACCAACAAACGTATGAACAACATTGAGAACCTCTACAGCATTAAACACAGGCACACCAACAAACATATATACAACATCAGACACATGTACACCATTAAACGCTTGTTCACCAACAAACATATGTACAACATTGAACACCTGAACACCAACAAATATATGTACAACATAGAGAACCTCTACAACATTAAACGCCTGTACACCAACAAATATATGAACAACATTGAGAACCTCTGCAACATTAAACACCTGTACACCAACAAATATATATACAACATCAAACACATGTACACCATTAAACGCCTGTACACCAACAAACATATGTACAACATTGAGAACCTCTACAACATTAAACACCTGTACACCAACAAACATATGAACAACATTGAGAACCTTTACAACATGAAACACAGGTACACCAACAAACATATATACAACATCAAACACCTGTACACCATTAAACACCTGTACACCAACAAACATCTGTACATCATTACACACCTGTACACCAACAAACATATGTACTACATTAAACGCCTGTACACCAACAAACATATATACAACATTAAACACATGTACACCAACAAACATATATACAACATTAAACACCTGTACACCAACAAACATCTCTACAACGACAAGCATCTGTTCTCCAACAAATATATGTCAAAGGATAAACATCTGTACAACATTAAACATCGTACACCATTAAACATGTGTACATCAACAAACATCTGTACAACGACAAACATATGAACGCCACCAATTAAACTCACAAACACAAACATCTGTACACCAACACACATATAAAAATCAACAAACAGCTGATCACCACCAAGTATCTTTACAAAAACAAACATGTACACAAACAAACACATGTACAACGCCAAATAGCTGAACACCAACACTGTTCTGTACATCAACAAATATCTCAACAACGACAAAATCTGTTCAACGAAATAATTTGTCCATCACCAAACATAACAAAGAGTAAGCATATGCACTGTAGAAAGCGGCGCGTAAACAAGAGTTGTTCCAAATCTGAAATATCAGTTTTCTATGACCATACTAAAATCTACGTTGTGGACGTTTCAAAAACAGCATGCACTTATCGTACATAGAAGATTATGCAAACAAAAATCCAAGTAAACGTTATCATTACTAAGTAAAATGAAAGAATTTTCAATGGATGACTCGAATCTACTTAAAGCGAACAAACGTCACTTAATTAAAGTCAGTAAGCCCGACAACGGATCATGCAGCCAAAGTGTATATAGCACGAAACTACTTTCATCTTTCTCTTAAACACGAGGTTATATCAATGATTATTTAATTTTTTTGTTATCATTCGTAATAATGATTCTTCTTGTAGACAGACCAGTAATACTGAAATTGATTACTTCCATTTTCAAGCTTTCATGTTGCGGAGAAAATTGTATATATTCTGTGTAAAGCGATTGACCTTTATTCCAGTACATGATACATGAGATTTAATTCCACAAGACTTTGCTTCCTCTCTATACCAATTGACATCTAAGCAGAATTAACTTTAGCTGTTTTTGTGGCGATCGTGCAACTTCGTTAACATACATGTCAGTTGTTCCGAGTATTGAAGCGGAATTTTGCGTGTGACACTCCCCCAGCCTCTGTCGGGCCACAGGAGAGGTTAGTCATCAGTACACAGTCCTTTGAGAGTTTCAAATGTAAGAGAAAACAACCAGAAGCGCTAACATTATATAAACCGCACCTTGTTAACTGGGTGACTCGGTCATATCTTCATCGCCATGGAACCTCAAGCTTCTTTAAACAAAATCATGTTTTACACGAGAGCCTAGAAATCGAAACATTGAAGTACATTAACGACGAACTCCCATTATGTGCGACTTAAAAAACACATATTTGCTCACCAAACGTATTCTATGTTTTTTTTTATCTGATTAATTTTATTTTAGAAGATAGGTGAAAATTAATATTGTCGATGAAGTGTCAATTATACTGAACTCTAAATCGCCTCTAAGTTTTTTCCAGTACACACAGATTAAGATAGGAGATTCCTTAGCTTCTATCTGAAGGAAGGAACACCTATTAATCGTTTTCCCTTCCGGAAATGCACATACCTGCACGCACTTTGTCGATAAAAAACATTTGCACCAAAATATGCACGTATTCATCACAATATACGCAATATGCCTGCGGTTTGATTCTCTCAGATGAAGAATTTAATGACTCCCACTCACACCTTAAAGATTTTCACACCGTTGTTACTCAGCCAAAGGACAACTATATATAGTTCACGTAGTCCACACAGTTAACCAATAGATAAACACATTCTTATATAATCTAGTAGGTAATATTTGACCAGTGGACCAATATACAGCCACTAATTCCAATTCTTCGATATTATAAGCGATACAGCTTATTGATTATAACAATGTCTACACACATTTCATTGACTTCAAGAATCAAGTTCAAATAATCTACTTACAAAGTTTTGCATAAATATTCCCCTTGTGAAATAGTTCAGTAATATTTTTTGTACAAAACAAAATCATAATTTATACAAAAAATACATTCTTTACAATTTAAAACCTATGAGCTAATTTTATATTCTACCTCAAAAGTACGCAGTGCACCACGTTATTGGTCGTAAATCTGTGGCGTTGGCTACAGTGAGATGTCAGTCGTTAATTGTTTCCGCCCGTGCTTTTAACAGTGAGGTCCGTGACGTCGGCTGTATCCACTTTTTTTCTGTGGTAAATTAAGAAAGTCGCGTTGACTTTATTCACTTTGTCTGTCGTACAGCAGAGGGCGTCGGATGTACCCAAAACATCAGCTGTTACGTCAGTAACGTCAGATATATCCACTATCAATCGTACATGTATTGGCGTAGAATGTGTTGTTTGAAATATCAACTTTATTTACAACAATTATAAAAAAGTTTTTAGAACTTATCTTAATCACTATTGTTGGCGCGGATGTTAGAACGCAGGGGTCTAAATGTGGGAGGTAATCGGAGTACCCGTAAAAAACCAACGTGGTCGGGCAGATGACCCCTTACCTTTTCACGTCCGCTCGGGGATTCGTTACCTGAGCGACTTAATGAAAGGCAAGGTCGAATTATTAAAACGGTCATCTGTTGTGTCAGTAACATCGGTTGTACCTTTATTCAGTTATTAGTTCAATAAGGTTGACTTTACCCGCAAAGTATGCGTATAAATGGAGAGAAGTCGTGAATGGTATCCGCTAATTAAGTCGCAAAATTAGTGATTTGATGGGATGGCTGTATCTGCATCGTCTGTCATATAGTAAATGGTATCAGTTGTACTCTCACCTCTAGCCACGAGGAAAGTAACGTCGACTTTGTCCGTACTATCAGACGTTACGTCAATGCCGGTATTCGTATTGCACTGTCAGTCGTAGGCCAACAGAACAAAAGAAATATCATGTGTTTGACAGAATAAAACAATATCTTCGCCACAGCAACTGTTTTCTAAAGCATGGCTAGGGGAACAATAAGAAGAACCATCAATTGTGTAATTATCTTAGCGTGTTTGGCGTTTGATGCATTGCTGCTGTTTTTGACGTTCATTTAAACGTATAAATGGTTGTCGGTAAGGACTGGAAAGGCTTGTGTCAGAAATATGCGAACAGGTGGAATGCGACGCTCACGTGTCCAGGTTATGACTTTTCAATAAGGAAGCACTTTAGAAATGGCTCAATAGTTTATAGATACAAGGAAAGATTGTTCCAATAGCCTTGGTTGTTGCGAGGAAACTCTAAACAAAATGGACATTGTTTACTGATTAAATATGCACAAAGATTGATTTTGTGTTCAAGATTAATTTCTAGTTTCAGTTATAATTGAACAAAAAGATATCTTGTTTTTTTAATAACTTTGAAAATGAAATAAAGATGCTTTCGTTGTTTACTTTTGACTTTTTGATTATTTTACATGATTTAAGTGAGTTACACGAAAGCATGTTTGAGCACAAACTCCATGTATGAATACGGGTCCTGGACTCTTTGAATCGTATAGAAAATCGGTTACTCCTAACAATAGAAACAGTACATGTCGTGTCCTCAGAGAAAAATTTTGATAATTTTTTATCATTTGAATGCACAATTACATTGACTATCTCGAGTTTGCCTAAAATGACGTACTCTTTATAAGGGACGTAAAGATTTAACCAACTTAAACGAGAATACATAGTTACCTGTGATGGTACAAAAGGAAGTCCCACCTCCTTTTACGTGTTACTAATAAGATACCATCATAATGGCAAGTATCAGGATTCAAATGACAGGCGTAATGTAGCTCAAACGGTACATTAGCTTCGAGTTGGAATCCAAAAATGCCTTCAGCGTCGTATAACTTCATCATAAAGCAAATAAACACCTCCTCAAATAGCGGTCATTACTATTTTTTGCAAAGGTTACATCGTAATGAACGGCAAAGTATCCAAAATATTTGGTTTTTATAGCGTAAATTAGAATCATTTGATGTCAGTTTATTTATGCCAATATCTTGCAGACAGATATAGGCGTGCAATTGGTGTGAATTAAACTGTAAACGAGAAACATATTAACGGCAATGTCACCGTGTACAGCGTTACATCGTCGGGATACGTGTTTGCCGTAAACAACACTTCACTGTCAACGGTTCAACATTATTAACAGTGACAACATAAGATACAACGCCTCCCATAATAACATCGGGTTTTATTCGGGTGTAGCGTCCATTAAGTGTTATTAAGGGATGTGCATTCATGTATGTGACTCTTTGAAAAAAGGGAACTGACGCCGACTTTAGAGTGCTAGCTCACTGAAACAAAATGGCATAAGCACAATATTCTCCCGCTCACATTTTACTGACAATGAATAAAACATTAGGCTACAACATTGTTTTCAGAAACATGTTCCGTCTTTGCGTATTGCAGAGTTATCTTCTCTTGAGAGCAGGTATTGATTGTTACGTCATTGGTTTGTGTGAGAAAATTACGTCATTTTCTCAAAAATTGATGATGCTACTCTCGCAAACAAATGACGTAACACTCAATACCTGTTCTCAAGAGAAGATAACTCTGCACAACGCAAGGCGAAATAGCTACGTTTGGTGCAACATCCATTCACCATATCAGAATGTACTACATCGCTTGATCATTTTAGGCAACGAATGTGGACTCATCTGCAGACTTTGGGTTTTTCGTCTGAACATATCTTCTTCCTAGAGGAATTGCTGCTCCTATTGCGATTCATCAGATATGTATCTGTTTATGATTTGCTGTTTAAATATGAGAACATGGTGAAGTGTCAGGCAGTCAAGTCCACAAATCAATGTTGTTTAACCTTAAACGAGAGCATAAAACCTTGAATAACTACTGTAAAAATGTATGTTTTTGTGTTATGGGTTTTT